TCTCAGTGGATTTAGTACCATCCCTCATGCTATCCTTCTTAATAAGCTTCTCTGAGTTGGATTAGAAGTCACTGCTTGTAGGTAGCACTCCAGCGTGGGGATCGATCCAGAAGGCGGTGCTTGGAGACAAATATGCTCTGGTCTCTCTCAGAGTCCTATCCTTTTCCCCATGAAACTGCCTCACTTGCTGGATCATCACCTTGTCGTGGCTTGCACGTTCCTATGACCCTTGTGAGCGAAGTCATCAGGAGTCTCGTACCCCCAGCAGGGTCACCCAAGACATCCTGAGGGATGCGGGTGGCGCTGTGGGTTAAACTACTGAGCCTAGGGCTTGCCAATTGGAAGGTCAGTGGTTTGAATCCCCACGACGGGGTGAACTTCCATTGCTTGGTCCCAGCTCCTGCCAACCTAGCAGTTTGAAAGCACGAAGTGCAAGTAGATAAATAGGAACTGCTCTGGCAGGAAGGTAAACAGCATTTCCGTGCGCTACTCTGGTTCACCAGAAGTGGCTTAGTCATGCTGGCCACATGACCTGGAAGCTGTACGCCGGCTCCCTTGTCCAATAAAGTGAGATGAGCGCCGCAACCCCAGAGTCATCCGTGACTAGACCTAGCGGTCAGGGGTCCCTTTACCTTTACCTTTATTAACCCTGAAGGACAACAAGCTTTGGTTAATATACATTTAATGTTGATTCTAGGGTTCACATGCCTGACTGATTAATTTGTATCCTGACTTTTCTCCACATGGTGCTAATGGAGGCTAACAACAATAATACAAATAAAATGAAATAAAATCTGCCATATGTTTTGGAAACTTGTTTCTTTGATGGGCATCTGAACACCTCTTAAAACAGCATAACCAAATTTTGCATGATGGTTCCTGAAATCAAGGAGCAAGTTTTTGTATGGGTTTGGATGCCATTTTGGATCAAGACGGAGGACTGCGCCTTTCAAAACGGCACTGATTTCAAAATGGCATTGTTGTTTTCCAGTTTCTCATAACGCCCAAACAGCGCTAGGTACAAGGCTGCTGGCATACAATAAAATACAATGTAAAAACAAAAACAGAGAAAGGCAGGTAAGACATCAATACAAGCAGCTAATTAAAGCCAATTAAAAAACCAATTAATATCTGTATTTTAGGATTCTCTTACAGTAAGGCAAATAAATATTCAAAAGGGGGTAAACCTACGAAAGGCAATTCTTTATAAAACTCTCCATAATCATCCTAAGGGTGGTATTGGTCTGGCAAAAAACAGTATTAACTTACTTATAAACTCTGAGCCGTGTAAGATGTGCACAGTATTACTCTAATGGGAATCTATGTTTGCATATATACAAGCCAAGGAGGAGTTCTTTTATTGCAGAGCTGCTTGATACAATAGACTGTAATGTGTCCTTAAAGTCGCTTATGGGTTATCTTGTGAAAGCCTGTGGGGTTTGCGTTTCATTCTTAATATACATTCGAAGCAGCTGCTGTAATGGTTCCTTTGGAGCTGTTTTGGTGTTCACAGTAAAAACGTTTATTACAAACAGTAGGACTTGCTCATGGTACCCTTAATGATTGGTGTAGATTGTGTTGTGGGAATAGAGGCAGATAATATTTCTGGTGGAATTTGTCAAACGTTCGAGGCAGATTGTCATTGACGTATAAAGCAGTAGCTTTCAACAGAGGCAGAAGGTAATTGGAGAGCTCTAATTTCCTGGACATTGATAATCATTTCAATTGTGCAGAACCTTTTGCAGCCCTTCTCTTGTTCACCCTATATTATAGGGCATAAAGCGACTATTATTCCTATTTTGCATCTAAGGCAACTTGGTGAGTTTCTGGCTGTCTGTTGGAAGTCTTTCGGTTGCACGCCCCAAAGTTATTGGACTGACATGTTAAAGACAAAACTGTGTTCAACATTGGTCCTCGTGAACACTGAGAAAGGACCACGCCCTCTTTTCCATGAATCATGCAATGAAATGTGGCCATTGAAGCTCCCACTAGAATTCCATCAGAATTGTGCTGGTCACAGTTTTCACTTTTTCTCCAAGGAACTCAGCCAGGGTAAAAGGTAAAGGTAAAGGGACCCCTGACCATTAGGTCCAGTCGTGGCCGACTATGGGGTTGCGGCACTCATCTCATTTTATTGGCCGAGGGAGCCGGCATACAGCTTCCGGCTCATGTGGCCAGCATGACTAAGCCGCTTCTGGTGAACCAGAGCAGCGCACGGAAACACCGTTTACCTTCCCGCTGGAGCGGTACCTATTTATCTACTTGCACTTTGACATGCTTTCAAACTGCTAGGTTGGCAGGAGCAGGGACCGAGCAACGGGAGCTCACCCCGTTGCGGGGATTTGAACCGCCGACCTTCTGACCGGCAAGTCCTAGGCTCTGTGGTTTAACCCACAGCGCCACCCCCATATCTGGGTACAGGTAGGATTAGGCCCAAGATCACCCAGTGAGCTTCATGGATTTGAACCTGGGCCTCTCAAGTCCTAGCCCAACATTCTCACCCTGACCTTGGCAAATAAATTACAAGGTAAATTGGCTATTAATTATGATTTTTTGCTAGAAGATTGGCTGTCTTTATAAAAGCTATATTTATAAATGGGAAATGTTGGAAAAGAATTAGTGCAATTCCTCTCTCCCCCAAAGCCATAGATTGTCTTCCATTAGAATTTCTACATTTGAAAAAGAGTCTGCACAGTGTTTTGCACCACAATGATAAAATGTATTTAGTTTGCTGTAGCAGTAGTTTAAAGTATTGGGCCCACTGGTAGAGGAAAGGGGGCAGGGGGAGCGCACTGCCCCATGCACCATCAGGGAGGGGGGGTACCATCGCGGCTGCCCCCCTGGACATGCGCCGTGCACCCCCCACTGCACCGGGTGCCATGCCCCCACGGGCAGCACACCATGCACCCATGGACAGCGCACCACACCCCAGGATGCGCACCACGCCCCCGTGGGTGGCATGCCACTCCCCCGGGACACGCACCAGCCCCGGCCTGCTCTCCGCTCCCGGTGCCGGAGCATGCAGCTTCGCCACTGATTGGACCAATTGGTGGATCATGCCCCATAATGAGATCATGGCCCATCCTAAAGTGACCACAACACCCACACCGTAACTGGCTGTGTTTAACTGTATTATTATGTTTATCTGTATTATTTAGAGTATGCTCGGCTGACGAAGACCGGCAGGGCAAAACAAGGTATTATTCTGGGAATCCTTGTCTTAAGTTCTTTTGTCTGATTCTTGCATGCAACAACTATATTTTGCAAAGGCATATGTGGAACATAACAAAGAAAAAGTTCATTTTCTGCAAGTACTGCTTCTTAAAGTTGTCGCGTCTGATGAGGTTCCAAATAAGGGGGATAACACCTTAAGATGTTGGAATATGCAGAGTTAGCAGGACTGGCCAACAGGATAAGAGATCAAGATGATAGAATACACAAGGAGGATATTTGTGGATTATTTGAAATGTTAGTGTAAACAGGTAAATAGGATTAGAATAGATTCAGCAGTATAAATTAAACAGAGGTAAAATGATGGGGGGGAGAGATAGGGAGTATTCAGAATATGCAGTGATGATGGGAAACTGAAGGGAAGTCCTAACTAATGTGTTGTCATACAGTGGTACCTTGGGTTAAGTACTTAATTCGTTCCGGATGTCTGTTCTTAACCTGAAGCTGTTCTTAACCTGAAGCACCACTTTAGCTAATGGGGCCTCCTGCTGCTGCCGCGCCGCTGGAGCAAGATTTCTGTTCTTATCCTGAAGCAAAGTTCTTAACATGAAGCACTGTTTCTGAGTTAGCGGAGTCTGTAACCTGAAGCATATGTAACCTGAAGCGTATGTAACCCGAGGTACCACTGTATTGGTGAATAAATAAATGTGGAACATATAATAGAAAAGCAAATAATTTTTTTTAAAAAAATAGAATTGGGTCCCATTATTAGGATGGGTTTAAAGGAGGACTGCAGGTCTGAAAAGGATAGACTACTAAGTTAGTGGATTGCAAAGGATAACGAGGATTGCTTTTTATTTCTCCTCAATAGAATAATAAACTTTCTCATCCTCTCTAGGTCGGAAATGGTTACTGAGATTGCCTTTCCGAATTTACTCTTTGTTTCAATTTGGACAGTCTCATTGCACTGAAATGTGTCCCGAGCCAACTTGTAAGGAAGATAGGTTGTTTGTTTATTAGGTTCCAGGGGCGCTGGGAGGACGACACAACAAAAGCCACTTCTGCCCACCTTTCATCCAGCAGGAAGTGTTCTGTGTGTCTCATTCCATTCACAGGAACTCAGGACCCAAGCCCTTGTGGATCGGATCGATCAACAGCTTTGCAGTAAGGCTGTGCACACACAATACATTTGAAGCACATTTAAAAGCATATGTTGTTGTTTAGTCGTTTAGTCGTGTCCGACTCTTCATGACCCCAAGGACCAGAGCACGCCAGGCACACCTGTCTTCCACTGCCTCCCGCAGTTTGGTCAAACTCATGCTGGTAGCTTCGAGAACACTAGCCAACCATCTTGTCCTCTGTCGTCCCCTTCTCCTTGTGCCCTCAATCTTTCCCAACATCAGGGTCTTTTCCAGGGAGTCTTCTCTTCTCATGGGGGGGCCAAAGTATTGGAGCCGCAGCTTCAGGATCTGTCCTTCCAGTGAGCACTCAGGGCTGATATCTTTCAGAATGGATAGGTTTGATCTTCTTGCAGTCCATGGGACTCTCAAGAGTCTCCTCCAGCACCATAATACAAAAGCATCAATTCTTCGGCGATCAGCCTTCTTTATGGTCCAGCTCTCACTTCCATACATCACTACTGGGGAAACCATAGCTTTAACTAAAAGCATATGGCTTCACCCAAAGAGTCCTGGGAACTGCCGTTTGTTAAGACTGCTGAGAACTGCAGCCCTGATGGAAACATTTTGGAAGTACAATAGGAATAATAGAATAATTGGAAGGGACCCTGAGGATCATCTAGTCCAACCCCTTGCAATGCAGGAATATGCAGCTGCCCCATACGGGGATTGAACCTGCAACTTTGGTGTTGTCAGAACCACACTCTAACCAACTGAGTCATATCCCCCCAGCATATTTTCCATAAATTTGTTGCATTTGGTGTTTCTAGCTAGATAACCTGGGAGATCTCTTGGTTTTATGAGTCAAATAATTTCATTCTTTGCTATATGAATGTCATAATCAGGCCTCTTCGTTTTTTATGGCCAAAGCTGTAAGTGGGAAGTGAGGGTGCAGTTCCTTAGCAGAAGGTGTATTTCATATCCTCTGCAATGTCTGGTTGTAAATAGTCATGAATAATTAAGGGTGGGTGAAATTAGTTCCTGCCACTTGCTGAGTGACTGGCTTGAAGAGAAAATGATGCGGAGCAAGCAAAGGTGAGATGCATAAAACAAAAACATTGTTAACAAAGGGAAATGATGCAGGCCTTGGTGACAGGCTCTCTGGCTTTAGAGGACAGCTGCCAGGAATGGAGGTGATGTGTGTGTGTGTGTGTGTGAGAGAGAGAGAGAGAGAGAGAGAGAGAGAGAATGAGAGAGAAAGTTAGAGAGTTCAGCAAAGGCCTTTTGAATCAATTGAAAGGGAATAAGAGAGAGAGAGAGAGAAAGTATTGATAGCTAAATATTTCAATTTCGCTTTCTCACAGTTTCACATTTTCCCAATCATAAAGTTGCTTCCCCACATTTCCACATCAGCTTGCATTATTATTGTTTTTCAAAAACTCATTGGTATTTTATTGCAAATTCCTCCAAAGACGCACATTTTGTATGCAATTTCGCCTAATGTACACATTTTTGCAAAGTAGTTTCTTCTAATATGCATTTTGAATGTTACTTTTTATACAGTGGTACATTGGTTCTCAAACTTAATCCGTTCTGGAAGTCCGTTCCAAAACCAAAGTGTTCCAAAACCAGGGTGTGCTTTCCCATAGAAAGTAATGAAATATGGATCAATCTGTTCCAGACTTTTAAAAACAACCCCTAAAACAGCAATTTAACATGATTTTCACTATCTAACAAGACCACTGATCCATAAAATAAAAGTAATAAACAATGTACTGCAGTCACATAATCAATCAATCAGTAGCTAAACTGGGTTCCACAAAGTCACAAAAACAAAACAAAAAGAGCTGCAAAAACAAAAAAGCAAACTAAATAGCAAAATAAGACAGACCTCAGCGTAACACTCAAAATGGAAGTGTGGCACTCAGATCGGAAGCCTAACACTCAAAATGGAGCATGTTCGGCTTCTGAAAAAAGTTTGCAAACCAGAACACTTCCAGGGTTGCAGTGTTTGGGTTCCAAGTTGTTTGAGTACCAAGGTATTTGAGAACCAAGGTACCACTGTATATTAAAACATAGAACATTATTTCATAAAAAAGCATCAAAGCAGTTTACAACAAAAATGCATACAAACAATATGAAAGAAGTTAAAAACATGTACATTATTATGCCTTATTGTCCATGCTGTTTGACTGGAGAAGTTAGCAAAATTTGGGGAAGAGCGAATTGTTTCAGACTGCATCTTGTTATGGATGGTGTGGACGATGTAAGTTTGCCTTAAAATGTGGACCGAACTGAATTCCTCCCGCATCCCTACATCATAGGAAGAGGAAGTGACATGAGCTTAGGTGACAGGTGACGGCAGCAGCAATGTCAGAAGGTGGGGGCAGTGATGCCACAGTGTTCTTTGTGTGAGCAGTAGAAGGGGTGGTGGTAGAGATTACGGTGGTAGAGGTACGTTTCCAAGCACAATTCAAAGTGTTGGTGCTGACCTTTAAAGCCCTAAACGGTCTTGGTCCAGTATACCTGAAGGAGCATTTCCACCCCCATCGTTCTGTCTGGACAATGAGGTCCACTGCCAAGGGCCTTCTGGCAGTTCCCTCGCTGCGAGAAGCCAAGTTACAGGGAACCAGGCAGAGGGCCTTCTTGGTAGTGGCACCTGCCCTGTGGAACGCCCTCCCACCAGATGTCAAAGAGAACAACAACTACCAGACTTTTAGAAGACATCTGAAGGCAGCCCTGTTTAGGGAAGCTTTTAATGTTTGATGGATTACTGTATTTTAATATTCTTGTGGAAGCCGCCCAGAGTGGCTGGGGAAACCCAGTCAGATGGGCGGGGTATAAATAATATATTATTATTATTATTATTATTATTATTATTATTACAGATTTGCCTCTTCAAAATCTTGTCAGTTTTTTTTTTTAAATAAAAAAGCAGGTAAAAAGCAGGTTGTGAAGCCAAACACTCTTTTTTCGGGCATTGTCACGCCCTCCATAGCCTTTTGCTGCTCTCTCACAGTGGCTGCTGAATGACAGCTCAGCAGGCAAGTGCTACATTAGGCACATCCCAGCTGTCTTCTGAACGTGGCATCTTATTCCTTGTACTTACAAAGGCGGGGGCGAAAACTCTGGAGTGTGCCATTAGGCAGCCTGTATAGCATTCATTATCTTTCACCTGAATCTTTCTCTCCCCTCCCCTCCAACCTTTCCTCTTGGAGGTCCTCAGCTCCTCAGCTCCTAGACACTTCTTGCTATTTCTTATCCCCCCTCCATAAGATCTGTTGTTTCCCATCTCGTTCAGTGCGGTTTGGGGATGGCAAAATAGCACCTGTCCACAGCTGCGCAGCGTATATATAGAGCTAGGTGCCTCTCCCAAATGATTACCTGCAAGACTGAAATGGAGATGGGAGTCGTTTGCAGAGAGAGGATGCAAAGAATTAATGAATCCTGAAAAGCACACAGTGAAACCGCATGGTGCTTTTTTTTATTGAAGAGGAGAAGCCAAGATTCTCGTGTTAGTGGGTATGTATAATGATAGGCTATTAAGTCTCCATGCTAGCTCAGCCTCTCTGGGGACCCAGGCTGACAATTACAGTGTAATAAATGTGATTCTTTTGTGATGTGAAAGGTTCAGCGTACAAACAGCTCTTGACAGTCGGAGCTGTTGCCTATAACCTTGAGTTGAGTCTTAGTCACAGGGGATGGGCAGTACAGGGTGCACATTATATATGGCATATGAGCTCATCTTCCACTTCCCTCAGCTGCCAGGATTACAAAGATAAATTGGAATATACAAAAGATTTGAGGGGGGCACATTTGAAAGAATTCCAGGAAAACTAAACCCACAGATCAGCAGAGCCCCCGTATCATATAAAAAATGTTTGCACGTTACATTCAACGAGTCTGTGTCCCTGTGCACTCGACACTTGAGCTGCACAAACAGGCAGGTGTACACCCTTTCACACAAACACTTGTAAATGCGTAGAGGCAGCTTGCACCTGTGTTCCCTGCAATATGTGAACAAGCCTGTGCACTCAGCACATAAGAGTTTGAAAAGTGATGTGCCGCGTGAGACTGCTGTTCCAAAAATGAACCCGAGGCCTGGCGTGCTGCGGAATCCATCATCTAAAAAATGAATATTGTTTGCAGCTGATAATGGAGCCATTAGGAAGCTGCCTTATGTCAGATCATATCATTGGCTCATTGAACCCAGCATTGTCCAATCTGTCTGGTAGTGGCTCCCTGGGGTGTCTGATAGGGGTCTTTTTCAGAACTTTCTGAAAATGTCAGAATCTGAACCTTGGATTGTTTGTGTGCAAAGCGACCTACCTCTGAGCTGTGGCCCTTCCCCAGCCTCACTGGAAGGAAGGATACACAAGCATCCCAAACTGACAAATGCCTCAGAGGTTTATAGGAAAAAACTACTGCCACAGCAGCAGCGGTAGCAGCAGCAGCAGCAACAACAACCACACACACACACACACAGTTTTTTGAGTTCAGAGTACTGAACTACAAGTGAAAGATGACGGCTTATACATAAGATTTGTCCTCTCATTTAGATGACTCATGCAGTGTGCACACAGAATACATCGTCTTGGTATTGTATCCCCTCATGGCTGTTTTCAGGCTTCCTCCCTTTGCTTATTTTAAAATATAAAACTCTGGGGCTCGGCAAATTGCTTTCCCTCTCAGCAGGCGCTCGTAGAATGAAATAATGAAATTACTGCATTCCTCTTGCTAATTAGCTATTCCGAAATGCATTATTCATTTTATATAAATTACTTGAATGCCCTAATGCACTTAACTGAAAAAAGTATGCACACATAATACCGGGTGCATTTCGCCTCCCCCCCTAATTATACAAAGCTTGAAACCACCTGCATATAAATATGGTCATTATTCAAAATTTGGGGAGGGGAAACCAACAGATGAGAGGCTTCAGAGTTCTCTATGTTCTTTACATTGTGTCTGAAGGTAAGGTGTCGTCACTATTACTTCGGAGACCTAATCAGATGCTCTAAACATTTGGGGAAGCAGAACTGCAGGCAATGGGGCAGAATGAACCGAGCTTTGCAGAAGTCTGGCTTGTTTGACTTGCATATAAAACGTGAATAGTCAAACATTCTACCTTTTGTGGCAATAATATGAAGAAAGCCGCTACACAAGTTATCATCCAAAGGCATCCGCAGCATGCAGTTAATTTAATTTCTTTTGCAAATAACCTTTTGGCTGTAGAAGTGCGATGTGATTTAAATCCCGATTGGTGTTTCCGTGTAAATAGTCGGGACCTGAATTGTCTTTGGCAGGCTGTGTATGTCAAATAATCTCATTCCAGCACAACAGCAGCCAGTTTAGATACCTGTATGTATTAGGGGTGGTGCCCCAACCCCAAGATTCAGCTCAGACCTTGGTTTGAGACTTTGGAAACTGGCCCGGTTTGTCACCTCAGTTCTGGACTTATTTATTTATTTGCCCTCAATACAGACACGGGCAAGGTTCGATACAGAGCACAGAATTAAAAGAGCCAACCAAATAATGCAATAAAACAACGATATATGCTAAAAAACCCCACCTCCCTCTAATTACAACAGAGCAAAAAGATCAGCTTACAAAACTTCAAAGGCCTGGACATATCAATCAGACCTGACTGGTGCAAAAATGATGAGAATGCTTCTGATGATTGTATCCAATCCATGCTCGTGTTCAGCCTCCATGCCATCAGTTGCGCATAAGTGACAGAATTGAATGTCATCAGCGTTGTGATGGCATGCAACCCCCCTCCCCCCAAAAAATTTGATGCCTTCTCACAGCAGGGAATTATGTCACATGGAACAGAAAAGAGTCCCAAGACCAGTTTATGTACCATATTGCCCCAAATATAAGCCACACTTTCCCCCTAAATTCTGACCGTGAACAGTTAAAGTGCAGCTTATATTTGTGACATTACAGTATGCAGCCAGGAGCGTGGCAAAGCAATGCACGCCCCACACGTAGTCCCCCGTCCTCTCCCCCAAGGCCAGAAAGGGAGAAAAAACGAGGAAGGGGAAAGGCTGCCGCCAACACAGCGCAGCTCCCCTCCCCCCAGTATGCAGCAGGAGCAGCGGGGAAGGAAGCGGCTTATATTTCAGCATTTTCCCTTTCCCCCCTTTGCCCCCTCCAATTTTAAAGGTGTGGCTTATATTTGGGTGTGGCTTATATTCAGGCTAATATGGTATCTTCCGCCGATGGGCTGTGTGCATCCAGCCAGAGGCTGTGTCTGCATGGACGCTTCCTCTGCTCATCCCTTTTCAATCCTCTTTTGGTTCTGGGAGATAGTGGTGCAGGAGAGGGTGAGGAAGCACCTGGCCCTCCATTTGCCTGATCTGCCTTTTCTTCCAACTCCATCCTCCAGCTCGGAAGCTTCCCCTGGCCTCCAACTCTTGCCTCTTGGCCGGAACCAGTGCTATTTTTCTAGAAAAAGAGGGGCCAGAACTCACCACGAATGCCTCCCTTGTTCTCTTATAACGGCAACGATGCCCAACTGAGAGGTGCTGGATCTGAATTCCGGTGATTTCCGGTTCATAAAAAGCCCTGTCTGGAAGAGTTCCCCAGAAATCACTGACCCCCTCTCCAGAGAGTGGTAGACTCATAATCTGGTGAACCGAGTTCGCTTCCCTGCTCCTCCACATGCAGCTGCTGTGTGACCTTGGGCCAGTCACACTTCTCTGAAGTCTCTCAGCCTCACTCACCTCACAGAGTATTTGTTGTGGGGGAGGAAGGGAAAAGAGATTGTTGGCCGCTTTGAGACTCCTTAGGGTAGTGATAAAGCGGGATATCAAATCCAAACTCTTCTTCTTTTTCTTCTTCTTCCTTCTAGCATCCTTTCAGTCCCTAAAAATACTCAACTAGATAGGACTGCAGCCATCATAACAATGGTGCCTCCAATCCCTATTGACCAGAATCTCCAGAAGGAAATAATAATAATAATAATAATAATAATTTATTATTTATACCCTGCCCATCTGGCTGAGATTCCCCAGCCACTCTGGGCAGCTTCCAACAAAACACTAAAATACAATAACCTCTTAAACATTAAAAGCTTCCCTAAACAGGGCTGCCTTCAGATGTCTTCTAAAAGTTTGGTAGTTATTTTTTTCTTTGACATCTGGTGGGAGGGCTTTCCACAGGGCGGGTGCCGCTACTGAGAAGGCCCTCTGCCTGGTTCCCTGTAGCTTTCCTTCTCGCAGTGAGGGAACCGCCAGAAGGCCCTCGGCGCTGGACCTCAGTGGCCTATGTTATCCAAGCAGAAGCCAAACTTGGCAGCCATGGGGTCTCCATACACCTCTTGTCATCCACTCCACCATATGTTGTAGTATACAAGGGTACTGATGTGCCACACAGTAAGACGATAGGAGTAAAGAGGAAATAAATCACAGCTCTTAAGTCTCCTTGTATGTAAGTGGCTGGTTTAAGGGCAAAGAGTGACTCTCCAGATTGCGACCTGGCAATCTTAATTCTAAGTAACTGGAATTTCCAATGGACCATCCATTTATAAAGCTCTCGTCCTCGGTGTGCCAATGATGGCAACCATTGTACGTTTGAACAACATAGAAAACTTCCTGTATTTGCCAAAACTGATCCTTCTAAAAGTGGCATAACATAGGATAGCCCAAGTGGTTGATGACATGGCTAGCATTTCCAACATGTATGGGACTATATGATCAATTGGACTGTGATTTTTTTGGCTCTGGATTTGCAAAGCGATCTCCTTCATCTGCCTGTGATCAGACCTGGCTGCCACTTGCTGAACACACAAAGCAAACTTGCATGCATGAAAGCAGAATAGTAATGTAAAAATGGTAGAAGAGGAAAGTCAAGTGCTCTAAAGTAGCTTGAATAATTGCAGACTTCTGTAGAATCAACATTCTTTCCAGTTTTTTTTAGTGATGCCAGGACTGAATAAAAATGCAGGATTTCTGTTTTTCAATCCCTAGGCGTGTTAAGTGCCTGTCTAAATTTAGTACATAGGTTTAACAGAGGTTACACCACTGAACAGTTAGTTTTAAAACTTCTTCTTACTGGAAGTGGGAGCTTTTGTTAACTAGAACAATTCATATTACTAAGGAGAAGAAAAACTCAATCTTCTAAATGTATTTTTATGGAATTCATGGAAGCTTGTTCTCTGCCCCCCGCCCCACACTTAAGATAAAAAGAATAAATGACCGAAATAGAATTAAATCTATAAACATCTTATTGTAACGGCGACAGTAGGGTTTGTTTGCCATCTTGCTACTCCCCACCCGCTTTGTAAATTCACTGTTTTCATAAGCAAATAAGAAGAGCCCCGCTGGATCTGGCAAGACACCCTTTCTGGTCTAGTTTTCTGTTTTCACAGTGGCCAACCACATGCCTATGGGATGCCCACAAACAGAACTTGAACACAGCAGCAATCTACCCAGTCGTGACATCAAAAGACATCAGGGACAGGGCACCATATGGCTCTGCCATGGAAACAAGGGTTGTGTGCCAACCACTGTATGTTTTCAGTGTGTGCCCAGTTGTTTGTTGTGCATTTTACTGAATTTCATTGGTCCCTGTAAAGTCTTTTCCTCTTTTGTTTTATGTTGCTGTTGCTGGCATTCACTTGCTCCATTTACAAAAGTATTTTTACACCACCCACTTGCATAACATGTCAAGGCAGTGCACAGCAGCACATGCAAATACAGTGTACCTCGCAAGACGAAAAACTCACAAGACGAAAGAGTTTTTCGTTTTTTGAGTTGCTTCGCAAGACGAATTTCCCTATGGGCTTGCTTCGCAAGACGAAAAACGAAAACGTCTTGCAAGTTTGTTTCCTTTTTCTTAAAACCGTTAATACCCAGGGTGCATTGCTTGAAGAGGTGCAGTTGCAACTTGACTTCGAGGAGCAACTCATAGCACGCGGTGTGGTAGCCTTTTTTGAGGTATTTGAAGACTTTGGAGATTTTTGAAGCTTTTCTAAAACTTCTTTTGCAGCCATTTGGTAAGTTAAACTTTTAAAACTTTTTTGGGAGTTTTTGGATTTTGGGTTGGGGTGTTTGGAATTCAAGGACTTGGTGTTGGGGAGGGGTTTGCAAGAATCTGGAAGCTTGTGTGTTTTCTGGGAGGTTTGGTGCTTTTGAATTTTTTGGATGTGAAGCACTGATTTTTTATTTTTTGGGGGGTTTGCGAAGGTAGGAGCTGTGCTGCCATGGGGCCCAAGAACAGTATGTGTGACTTTAAAGAGCGAGCACTTAATAAACTCTTTTTGTACCAAATTTGGCTTGGTTTGGACTTTTTTTGAGCATATGAACGCATTAATTGATTTTCAATGCATTCCTATGGGAAACCGAGCTTCGCAAGACGAAAAATTCGCAAGACGAAAAAACTCGCAGAACGAATTAATTTCGTCGTGCGAGGCACCACTGTACTGTAAAAATAAAATACTGTAAAATAAAACTGTACAAAATAATAATAAGAAGAAGAGTTTGGATTTGATATCCCGCCTTTCACTCCCTTTAAGGAGTCTCAAAGCGGCTAACATTCTCCTTTCCGTTCCTCCCCCACAACAAACACTCTGTGAGGTGAGTGGGGCTGAGAGACTTCAGAGAAGTGTGACTAGCCCAAGGTCACCCAGCATCTGCATGTGGAGGAGCGGAGACGCGAACCTGGTTCCCCAGATTAGGAGTCTACCGCTCTTAACTGTTAAGTAAGATTTATTGCTTTACTCTTGGCGTCCGGCACACTTCCCTGCACTCCTCTGCAGGTCGTAAAGCAATTAGCAGAATTGCACAGCAGTTCGTGTAGAAAGAGCAGTAAAACAGTCCCACACGTTTCTTCTTTCCTAGTAGCACTTTATTTGCTCAAAAGTAGCATATTTACAGTTCATATACACCATCTGATTGTAGCTGCATTTTGCTCTGCGTTTGCATCCTTCTCTCTCAGCAGCAGCTGCGTAGCAAAGCTGCTTTCACTTTCCACTCAGCTCACAGCATTCCAAGCTGCTTTCGTCACGTCCTGGCTTACTTCCCTTGTAAGCGCCTCCTCTCAGCCTCGAGACACAGAAGGTTAACCCTTCACTACACCCAACACCCCCTCTTGTCTCGCGCCTGAGGGGAGAATTGACCCTTGGTCGTCCCAAACCCAGACCTTCACAAAACTCCCCATGTCTTTGGAAGGTGAGTGGTTTCGTGAACCCATCAGCTAGGTTCTTGGCAGAGGGACAGTACTTCAGCGCAACTAATCCCTCCTGAACACCTTGGCACACATTCCGAAAGCGAATGTCTAGGTGTTTCGTTCTGGCCTTGAACTGACCTAACTCTGCCAAACGCAGGCATGGTTGATTGTCCTCGAAAACACGTATCGGCAGACAATCCATTTCGCAGAGTTCCTGCACTAGACAATCTCAATAATAACTAAAAATAATCCCAAGAATGACTGGCTTGAACATTTGTGCAAAAAAACCCAACCAACAACCCCAGAAGCTTTTCTCTTGGGAATTATAGGTGTAGGACTACCCAAACAGTATAGAAATTTATGTATGTATGCAACTACAGCTGTAAGAATGTTACTTGTCCAAAAATGGAAAGAAGAAGAAGTCCCGATGAGAGATGAGTGGATACAAAATCTTATGGATTTTGCAAAAATTGCAAAACTTACCAGAAGAATGAGAAATCAAGATAACAAACTTCTTATAAAAGAATGGAAATGGTTTATTGAATATCTACAAACAAATTGTAAACAGATAAAGACAGTGGCAGGATTGCTGTAATGACCTGCAGTTTCAAAAGAATATAGAATCAAAACAGATGAATAAAAGAATAAGTTAATTTAGAATATGCAGGATATGATAAAATTAATTTAAGGAACATCAGAAAGAGGAGGAGGAAGTCGAGGTTTGAAATGTTAGAAATGTTGTTAAACTAGTGAAATGTACATAAATGAAAACTATTAAAAATTTATAAAAAAATAAAAAGAAATGACTGGCTCGTCTAAAAAAAAAGGGAATTAAACAACTAGGTAGGTCTGGTGGCATAAAAAGGACTTCAAGAGTTATCTGCCGGTTAACAGGGAAGTTGCACTGTCTGTCTTTTTATTTTTTATTATATACCACTTTGAGATTTTTGAATGTTAAGTAGTCAATTTTAATAAATACTACCGAGTGTAAACGAACTATGCAAAAAGACTCTATGAACTGAAAGCGGAGATGCTACATGTACTTTTTTTTGTTTATTTATTTGTATCACAAAAAATCTTTCACTACCACTTGGTGTACTAATACTGATCAAGTTACAAGAATCACGTATAATTTCTAGAGTTGGATTGCATGAAGTTTCTATTTATATCTGCTATCCAAGAAGGAGAGCAGGAATTGAAAAAGGATAATTATTGTGTAAAAATGTAGACAGGAATTTGCCTTATACTAGTTGAGACCAATTGGTCCCTCTTCTTGCTCAGCTTTGTCTGGCAACAGCTCTGCAGGAATTCATTCAGCAAATCTTTCCCAGCCCTACCTGGGATCGCTCAGGGATTGATCTGCTGTGAAAAAAGCATTCCTTTGTGCGACAGTCTTGTGGAGCTGTTTCACAGCAGCAGAACAAAGTTTCTCTCATGCCTAGACCTCTGCTCTAGCATGTTGTATTTTTTAATTGATGTAACCTTCCCTGGAATCTCATAGCAAAGGGCAGGTGAGGAATCTAATAAATGATTACGGTTATGGTAATTTTGCAACAGCGTATTCAAATTGAAGTCTAACAAAAATGGCAGTTCTGTGATGATATGAGCAACCCACGAGATGATGAAAGCTGCTAGCTCAAAGATTGCTTAGTAAAGACTTGATGATCAATTGCCATAGGTACAGGGTGTCCTTATGACAAGGTACTAGACTTAAGGATGAGTTTCATCCTATTGCATTTCTCTGCACCATGGTTGGACAGCTTGCAATGAAAGCACATTTTTTTTACTCACCGATATTGTATTACTACTTCAAATAAACTTAAGTGATTATATAGAGGTTAAAAAACTTGGGTCCGTGTTGGCTGAAGGAGATTAAGTGGTGATATGACAGCTTTCTACAAATATTTGAAGGGCTGTCAGATAGATGACGGAACAATTTTGTTGTTGTTGCTCAGAACGGTGTTGAATGACAAGAAAGGGGTGTTCGGATAACTTCCTGATAGAATGAGCTGTTCGATAGTGGAACCAGCTGCCTAGGGGGGAGATGGTGTTTAATTAAAGGTTGTATGGTGACCAATTAGGGATGCTGTAAGAGTGACTTTCCTGTTCTTCAGGGCTTTGGACTAGATCAGCTTTGAGGTCGCCTTCTGATTCTATGATTCCATAGCGTTGAACTTCTGGGGCAAATAGTTCAGCCAGGAGTTTCTGCTTTTGCCTCTCTACAAGCTCGCTTTTATTTCCCTCCTGTTTTTTTTTTTAAAAAACCTATCCATAGTAAAGGTTTTCTGTGTCTAAGAAGCACAAATTTGTTTTAAAACCAAGTGCACTGTTAAACAGAGGATGCATAAGGGTTCTTTTCAGAGGGAGTAAAAAGACGGGAAATTCCCTCAAGCCAGCTGTCTTTACTGAAAGGGCTTTCAGCATGCTGGCTGTAGTTTTGCATGTCTGCCACAGTTAACACTCAGCACCTATGGGGCTTGCTGGTCCAAGATCAACACACTGCAGCCGTACCATATGCCCCAAAGGTTGCGAATTCGATACCTCGTGAAGCAACTGGTGAAAGGGCCCCATGCTGAACAAAAAAGGCTACTATGATCTGAAAGTATATGGCCTTTCCCTGGCCTTCCATAGACAACACAATATACTTTAATGATAGCTTTGCATTTGAGCACCATCTCCCAGGAAGCACAAGAGCCTTTGCACTGAATGGAAGATGCTCGGAAACATAGTGGTGTTACAACAACAAAGTCCTCTCACAAAGCTCTCCCTCTCCCTCATCCCTAACAAACCTCCAAAGAAAAATATCCTGGTGGATTGTGCTGTTGATCTTCACAAAAGCATGCCCATGATAAAATAACTAGCCTGAAGCAGTTTGTTGAATGATGGACTCTGCAGCGAATGTTGCTTGGATGAACTGTGAATGTACGGTTTGACTTTGGAGTCCCTTGTGCACTGAGACCAAGTAATCCCGCTTAATTGTCAACACATAGCAGATGCAAATGTCAGCACATGTTGTAGGGCAAGCTGTTTGCCCAAGTCCTCCAACAGAAACCAGGAGAGTAGTACCCTTTGTTTCATTCTGTTGCTCCCAAATTGTCTTACCTTCTACATGTTTGCTCTTTCTTTTGTTAGTCCTTTTAAGATGTTCTACATGGGAGTTAAGTAAACGTGCAAGGAAGGACTGTGGGGACAAGGAGGCTAGCTACACCTTTGCTGTCCTCTCTGATTTGCTGGTTTTAGAACCCTGGGAAATCAGGGTGTCTCGTCTACTTTGAGTTTAAGAGATAACTAATTTATCACACACCTGTCTTATTTATTTAAGGAATTCATATCCCACCTTTCACTATTTGTCTCAAAGTGGCTTACTGAACGGAAAATATGCAAAATATAAAAACTAGATTAAAACATAAGAAAATAAAAACATCAAAACAATGTTCATAGTGCAAAGGCCTCCTGAAATCTCAGAATTGTAGAGTTGAAAGGGACAATGCGGGTCATCTAAACCAACCCCCTGCAATGCAGGAATCTTTTGCCCAATGTGGGGCTTGAACACACAACCCACTGAGGTATCGCAGGTCCATAATGTCTGGAACCTGAAATTTAGCAGGGCTAGTTCCTGCATGATTCAAAATATGAGAGGGATCTATAGAACTGAGCCCACCAGTACATTGAAGGCATGGATCCTCATTGACACGGAGTCTTGTTTCTGGTCCATATGGGACCACTAATCATGCTTTCCCAAATGATCTCACTCATTGACTTGGGACACAGGGGGTAAGGCTGTGCTTATGGTATTCTGGGCCTAAGTTGTTCCTTACACTCATACCATGGGAAAGGTTATTAGTATTCCCACTTTTGTTGCAATTTACTTGAGTCACCTTGTCAATCCACAGGTGACTAGAGAATGGGATGCTCCAAAGTCTGATATTCTATTATTTCCTGAGGCAAGTAAGCTAATCCGTACACAGAAGTAAATTTATGCTGGTATATCAGGAACTATGGCAATAAATTGCATGCACATCTGAAAAAGGAAGTAATCTATTAGTTCCAGTAGGAACTAATGGCTGGATAAGGATGGTCATGAGAATGTGCATTGAAATGCACATCCAATTGAAAGAAATGCAGCATGGGAGGTCGGTTTTTGCACACGGGTGGGCATCCGATTTATACGTACAGTTCCTGATGTGTATGCATAAGTCTGCCTTGGATCAGGAACAGTGTATAGCACTAGCAGTAAAGATCTGTTTATGATTTCCAGAGAACTTGCTGTTGTGTGCTCGAAATATGTATACAGTATGTATAGCTTTCTGTTCTATACAGCACTGAACGCAATTGTTTCTGCTAAGTGAATATTCACCTAAGGCGAATATATATATTATTAAATGGTAGACCATCCCTACAAATCCCCACACCAGGCCAGCATAGAACCACCTGCAGTTTTAGAGCTCCTGTGGGGTGCATCCTGGATAATTTCCTTCTAATGCATGTACGATATGCGCTCCGTATCAAAGACAACATTGCAATTCCTAAAGGTTTCTGAGAACCAGCACTGGGGCCAGGGGACCATGTTATTTGTAGGATGATGTATGGACGTGTTGTATAGGATCCCAAGTGGCAGGAAATGTGTGCTCAGGCCAAGCAAAACGAAGACACACATTTGTTTTAGTTTATGAGCAAACTGAGGAAGATTTTTCTGGAGAGAATTATCTGAAGACTTCAGCACATATAGCAGCTGCAGTGCTCACATCAGGGTCATATGGTTGTTTTATCATCCTCTTGT